AATCAGCCACTGAGGAAATTATGCTTGCCCTTGGGTTTTCATTAAGATCGTATCAGGCAGAGAAATGTTTGTCTTGTTTATGATCATTAAGTGTATGGATTTCTGTTAGTGTGATATCGTTTTAATTTTGATAGAAACCAAATCAGGTCATTGTGTCATTCGGAAAATGGCTTTAACTATTTTGTGTTATAATAGATGTTAATCGATACTTTTTCGATGGGGGGATAAATTTTTGTTGTCTCTTTAAGATATGTATAAATTATTGGCCATTGCCACAATGCAGGCCAACTGTTGTTGAATCTATATATCCAATAATGCAAGCACTCTTGTGTTAATATTTCATTAAGGATATCGGTGACCCTTATATGAAAGATTTATGTTACCAATATATCAGTCAAGTTAGATAATTAGTGCCACTTGATAAACCAAATGATTTACAGTATTCCAGTCCATTTTGAAACAGAGTGCCTTTTGAAAATTAACGGTTGATAGATTGATTGTTGGTGGCTTAATTTCCAGTGGCAAATTAAAAAAAAAAACAAGAATGTGTCCATAGTACACGGATGCCTCACTGGCACTATCTTTTCTATGTTTAGTGGACCGTGAAGTTGGGGTCAAAACTCTTAATTTGGCATTAAAATTAGAAAGATCATATCATAGGGAACATGTGTATTCACCAAAAACTTTAACCTGAAGCAGGACAGACGGACGGACAGACGGACTGACGAACAAACGAATGAACAAACGGACGCACAGACCGAAAAACATAATGTCCCTCTACTATCATAGGTGGGGCATAAATATGGTAAACTTTGTCAATCCATATGTCCTTCTGACATAATTTGTAAGACCTCTAATAATTACATTTCTATGGATTTAAATGAAATTATATGAAAATTTTCTTTTACCTAAGTCAGAATTAAAAATTAGAGATGTTCCTGATAATTATACGCCAGTTTACGGGACGTATTATGGTATACCGTTGTCCGTCTGTCCGTCCGTCCGTCTGTCCGTCGTCAACATGTCGGACATTAACTCAAAAATGCTTTAACCAATTTGCATAAAACTTTAGTGAATTGTTTATATCTATTGACGTGAGCTCCCTTTCGTTTTTTATAAAATATAGATTTTACGTTTCCGAGTTATGGGGTTTTATTCATTAAAAAAAGGGGGATTTTCCAGTTTTTGGACAATAATTCTAGAATGCTTTCACCAACTTGCAAGAAATTGTGGTGAATTGTTTATATCTATTGACATGAGCTCCCTTTCAATTTTTATAAATTTTCGATTTTACGTTTTCGAGTTACAGGGTTTTATTCATGAAAAAAGGGGGGATTTTCCAGTTTTCGGACAAAAACTCAAAAATGCTTTCAGCAATTCTTATGAAACTTTGGTGAATTGTTTGTATGTATTGATGTAAGCTCCCTTTAGAATTTTATAAATTTTACATTTTACATTTCTAAGTTATGGGGTTTTATTCATTAAAAAAGGGGTGATTTTCCAGTTTTCGGACAATAACTCGAAAATGCTGTCACCAATTCTCATGAAACTTTGGTGAATTGTTTATATCTATTGATGTAAGCTCCCTTTTTATTTTCATAAATTTCTAATATGACATTGAGAATTAATTGAACTTTATTTGTTTATAGTCTGACAACAGATTTACTAAGTATTGCACAACAGCAAGAAATCTTTAATTGAATATAAATTCAATTCATATAACCAATTTCAAGATCTTTGACTACATTTATTCAGAAACCTATAATATGTCAAATATTTAATTACAATCCAAATTCGGACCTGAATCAAGCTTGAATATTGTGTCCATTTTTGCCCCAACTGTTCAGGGTTGGACCTCTGCGGGCGTATCTAGCTGCGCTCAGCGAAGCAGTTTATTTTTTAATGTATTGCTATTTTAATGCTTTTTATCAAACTACACTATTCAACAGCCCAATCAAGCAGAAATGTAGGCCTTAGTCTTCCATGTTTCAACCTTATTTTTTTAAGGTAATTGGCATGGTTATATAGTCTATAAAAAATAGTGTCCAGTGATACAACTGACCCCCAGAAAACCCACCCACATATTTTTAGTTTGAGAATAATTTGTGTCACTAAACCTGCATTTATTATTGGTAATAACTCTTCAAATATTGTGATGCCAATTCAAAGTCTTATTCTTATATGAGATCCATTGTTTGGGTTTGCAATGTAACATAATTTATGTGAAAAAAATCATGTGACAAAGGAGCCTCAAGTTTATATACAAGACCATATTTTAACATAGATTTTTCTATTAAGTTGTTGGTCAACAAATATATAAATAAATCTGTCTGACACATATGAGAGATTATATATTTTAGCAAAGGTCAGTACATGAACAAACATTCATATCAACTATCTGTCACATATAAAGGGTAATGTTTTAGCTACTGCTCATTCCAGCAGAAATTGTATTTTTCTTCTGACTAGACAGAGCCAATGAATAATTACAGAATTATTTTCAAAGTTTATGGAATCTACAAAGATTTACTCCCAATACATACAGGAAATAGCGATATATAGATTAAGTGCAGTCACTCACACGAAAAACAACAGTTACTGATAGGATCAGTTTTCTAAAAGACATTTGTGTTGAATCTTGGAGACAAAATCAATACTTTGGGTTGTTACTAACTAGTAAGAAGGCCTATGGAACAGCCTTGTCACTTAAGGTCAAACTTCTATCAATAACTGACATTAAATGCAAATAATTGACTTCTTCAATTTCTTCTAAGCATTAAATGGTAATAGAATTGCCTGAACTCTTAGCGGCTGTAAAATTTTAGGCGCACAATGCCAGTATACAAATTAATATTAAAGGATATACAGGCGACAAACAAAAGAAAATTAAAGAGACAATATAGTTTATTCTGTTTCATTTGTTGGCTTTGAGTTCAACTTATTGATTTTTTCTGTATTACATGCTCTAAATGAAAAGCTTTTAGACTATCTGATAGAAAGTCGCTTGGTTCAGGTAACAATCCTCTTAACAGCTCATTGTTCTAATAATCAACGAATGGAAAACATTGTTTCGAAAACTTCAACCATTTTACCATGAAAATTAATTCTGTTTAACGAAAATTATGGCTTATCTTCTTTTTTATCCATATATTTGATGAGAAGATGCACTTTTACAATTTTGTTATTTGTGTTGTTGAACAAAACAAAGATTTTTTTTAGAAAAATAAACTTCGCAGAGATAAACCTCGCATAGAAGGCTTGTTGCTGTTGTTAAGAGCCGGAATACATTGATCTAAAACTTTTAACTACTTTACAATGCAAAGCTCATTCCATTTAACGAAAATTATGACTTTTTTTAACCATACTTTTGAAGAGAAGATGCACTTTTAGGATTCTGATAATCGTGTTGTTGATCAAAACAAAGATGTTATTTAGAAAAATAAACTTCCCAGTCATAAACCTCTCATAGCAATCTCATTGCTATTCTTAAGAACAAATGGAATACATTGAACTGAACTCAGCTATTTTATAATGCAAAGCTCATTCCATTTAACGAAAATTATGACTTGTTTTTTTTTTTACCATAGATTTGATGAGAAGATGCACTTTTAGGATTCTGATAATCGTGTTGTTGATCAAAGCATTTAAAAAAAAACAAAAAAAACTTCACAGTAATAAAGCTCTCATAGAAAACTCATAGCCAATGGAATACATTGATCTGTATTATTAACTATTTTTGATGAAAAGTTCATTTTATTTAATGAAAATTATGACTGTTTGATAATAATAAAATGTACTTTTAAATTTGTGATAATTGTGTTGTTGATCGAAACAAATGAACGAGTGATAAATCTGGTACAGAATATATTGTACAATAAAAGTAACAATATATATACAATTTTCAAGGATCTTTTTGATGTTCTTAAAAGAAAAAAAACAAGTTTCTTGCATTAAAGCAATTAGTGACCTGATATATTGTCTGAAACAACACAAATTCTGCCATCTAATGCCCAATCTTGTCAACTCTTATCATAAATCTATGGTAAATTTGAAACTAAAAGTACATGGCAAATTGAAGCAAAATATCCTTTAATGGATGTTTGTATAGACTTCAGCCAACATAAAAAGGTCACTGTTATTTAATATAAATAGGAAGATGTGGTATGAGTGCCAATGAGACAACTCTCCATCCAAGTCACAATATATAAAGAGTAAACAATTATAGGTCAAAGTATGGCCTTCAACACGGAGCCTTTGCTCACACTGAACAGCAAGCTAAAAGGGCGCCAAAATGACTAGTGTAAAACAATTCAAACAGGAAAACTAACGGTCTAATCTATACAAAAAACGAGAAACACCTATGAACCACACCAACAGTATATCAAAATGTGTCTTGTTTTAAGGAATGTTTTAAGTGGTTCTGTTCTAAGACTTTTTTAATCAGTTATACAAACAAGGTTGTATTTTTTAATAATTAATGAACAGGGCCTCGATGGCCCAATGGTCTAAGTAGTTCATCTCCAGTGATCTCTAGCCTGTCAACACTTGAGGTTGTGAGCTGACATTCGCTATTGGCAAGGTGAACAGGGCCTCGATGACCCAATGGTCTAAGTAGTTCATCTCCAGTGATCTCTAGTTTGTCAACACAGAGGTTGTGAACTGACATTCGCTATTGGCAAGGTGAACAGGGCCTCAATGACCCAATGGTCATTCATCTCCAGTGATCACTAGCCTCTCATCACTGAGGTTGTGAACTGACATTAGCTATTGGCAAGGTGCTTTTAATTGAACAGGATTGCCAGTTTACCTGCCTATGGTTCTCTCCAGGTAATCAGGCGTCCCAACCTATAAAAACTAGCCCCATGATAGAGCCGAGTGCTGAAAGTGGTGTTAAACACTAACAATCAATCATAATTTATCAACATGCTTATAGGCCATCAGCTGTAAAGACCAGGCTTTCAGTAGATAATATATACTTTGTTTTTTTCTCTCTCTCTCAGTATTACCTACATATCAAGTGAAGATGCTGCTGCTTACAAGAACTCCAGAGTTGATGACCAGTCACCTCCCCCTCCAACCATGATGCCTTCTCCAAAGTAAGTACAGCTTATCTTTATAATCATGTTGTCTTTTGTTATGCAGAACAGCTAAAATTTTTGCAATTCAAGCATGCCCATTATTTAGACCAGCTTGCCCTTAGGCCAGATTTTTGCCTAGTTTTGAATGTGTTGTAAGAAAGTTATACACTTTATTGAGCAGATCAGCATACAGGTAAAAAATAGATCAGTCTGACATACCTCAAATGTTGCCCTTTTGTTCAAATTTACATCGAAGTTTATATCCTGTAATGCTGTTAGATCATTTAAACATCATTTTATTTAGAAATGAAAATAACTGGAAAAAAATCACTTTGAACCATTCTGTTGTTGGAATCAATGTAAAGATTCACTAAGGTGGGGAGTCATAATGGCCTAGGTTTTTTAAGAATCTTGACTTGCACCAAAATTGATAGCATTGTTTGAGGAGATGACAGATGGCTTTTTGTTCAGGTAACAATGCTAATGAGTGTGGAGTCAAAGTAAAGAACTCATTTACTATCATGTGAGAATATTTTGTTTATAATAACTTCCATCTAAATGTTATTATTGGTTTTGAAAAGACGACCTTGTAAGCATCATGTTGGTGTTTCATTGAGGTTGCAAAGGTTATGACTTGCTTATAATTCCAGGTGACTTGAAATTTGTCAAACAATTGTTTTTCTGTTTACTTGACTCCATTATTTATTTGAATACTTTCAAAATTGATCCATATTTAGTCACCTGGAATTATATGGACTGATTATCATAGCAGTCACTACCTTAAAGGTTATTGCAACAAAAATCATAAAAAGGTTACAACTTTTTATGCAAGTTGTCAATTCAGTTCTAGTTTTACTGTTAGATGAACAGTTTTACGAATATCAGGTGTTGAAACCAAAATTGCTCAGGTGGAAGTCATTGTTTCACATGTACAATTTTTATTCCAATACTTTACAATTGTTTATATAGATGTATATAAAATTCATTTTAATCACTAGTTATAAAAGTAATTTGGTAAACTGTTAGATTTTTCGTCAGATTTTTAATTGTAGAAGTTTTGTTTATATTATGGAAGAATAAATCCACTGATGCCAGCCAGTAAATGTCTTTATTATTAAAAGTAATCAATTCTAATGTAACAAAGATTTGAAGTGATATACAATGTATTAGAATAACAGGTCTCTGCAGGAACGTTCTGTAAATGACCTTAAGAAAATAAAAAACTGCAGAATAAAATGAGAAAAGTGAACTCATTAGCTTTGAAAATTGAAGCACTTGTAGCCCTGAAATTACTAGGTGTAACTATTGATCAAATATAAAATTGATAATTTGTACCATTTATATATACCATGTACCTAATTTCATGCTTCAATAAAGGATCTTTCCAAAACACTATCGGTAAGAACTGCATGGACTTAGTGCACTCTCTCTCTCTCTCTGTGTAGTAATTGGCTGGTTTGCTATAAAGGTGAAGGGTATATGAAAATAATTTCAAATTTATAATAACTCCAGGATTAAATTGAAAGAATAGTTATAGAGCAGCAGTTGTGATATTTCAAACGAACAGACAAGCACATACGATTTAAGGTATAATAAACATGTTGAAAGTTGTTTACCATTGCAGCCTTCAAAATAACAGCCTGTCTATCATCATGGAACGTGTTAATTATGTCTCATCAATAGTTTATAGGAAATATATTGACTTTCCTGTTGTTTTTCTCAGGTCCGAGATTTTTATGCGCAACCTAGGGGCATTATGTTTTTTGGTCTGTGTGTCCGTTCATTCGTCCGTCCATCCTTCTGTCTGTCCTGCTTCAGGTTAAAGTTTTTGGTCAAGGAAGTTTTTGATGAAGTTGAAGTCCAATCAACTTGAAACTAAGTACACATGTTCCCTATGATATGATCTTTCTAATTTTAATGCCAAATTAGAGTTTTGACCCCAATTTCATGGTCCACTGAACATAGAAAATGATAGTACAAGTGGGGCATCCATGTACTATGGACACATTCATTTTTTAACACTATAATGTACTGGCAAATTGTTTTCTTAAGCTGGTCTTGTAGACTGGCTACCTTAAAGAATGGATCAATGTTAATTGTGATAAGATGAATGATCCTGCTTGACCTTTCTACCATGTTAAATTATCTATTTGTTGGTAAAAGAGTAAAAAGATTAAGAATCCAAGTAAGTTTACTATGATCAATTTTATTGTTAATAAAAAAAAAAGTAAAGGGTTCCTTTTAAGGGGGAATCTGAATAATAAATTTATGTTGACTTACCTGCTCATAACTTTTTTCACAGAATGAAAGTACATTACCAAATTTATATACTTTAATAGTAACTTTGGTTTTGTAACTGTGGCAATCAGGGTGAATCAGTAACAGGTTTTGAGGCTATTAATGAAATGTATAAGCATGTTCTAGATTCAGGACAATAAAGAGGTAGACATATTCTTTAGACACTTGTCTCTTTTTGAATACAGTATGTTGACATCGAGACGTCTTTATATTTTTATGCCACCACCATGGACAACAGGGGCATTAAGTGTTACTCTTGACAGTCCGTCTTTCCGTCCATCCGTCTTTCCATCTTTTCGTCCATCCCATTTTTATTACCCAACCTTACTTAAGTTTGCCTCATGCAAAGTGTTAAGAAACACATACAAAATGCTAAGAACCACAATATGCAGACAGAGTTCGAATTTGGGCAGTGAGTCTTATACAGTTCTAGAGTTATGCCCCTTTTTAACTTGGAAAATTGCAAAGCTTGAGCAGGAGCATTCGTGTCCTCAGACACATTATTCTTTTTTTTATGTTGTTTGGGTATCTGTCTCATTGATGTATACCCCATCTCAAGTCATTCATACCATGGCCATTCTACATCAACTCCTTTTTTATGCCCCCGCCGTAGCAGAGGGGACAATAAGTTTTACCCTTGTCTGTCTGTACGTCCGTCCGTCTGTCCGTCCCAAAGTTGGTTTCTGTTCTCTAACTTTAGTTTGCCTCAACCAAATGTTATGAAACTTATACACAATGTTTATTACTATAAAATACAGATCAAAGTTTGAAATTGGGTGGCTTCACTTTTACCGTTCTTGAGTTATGTCCCTTTCTAAACATAAAAATTGCTGAATTTTTCGTTTCCGTTCTCTAACTTTAGTTTGCCTCAACCAAATGTTATGAAACTTATACACAATGCTTATTACCATAAAATACAGATCAAGTTCGAAATTGAGTTATGCCCCTTTCTAAACATAAAAATTGCTGAATTTTTATGCCCCCGTCGTAGCGAAGGGGGCATTAAGTTTTACTTTGTCCGTCTGTACGTCCCAAAATTGGTTTCCGTTCTCTAACTTGAGTTTGCCTCAACCAAATGTTATGAAACTTATACACAATGCTTATTACCACAAAATACAGATCTAGTTTGAATTTTGGTAGCGTCACTCTGACTGTTCTAAAGTTATGCCCCTTTAAAAATGGAAAAATTACAAAATTTTTAGTTTCCTTTCTCTAACTTAAGTTTGCCTCAACCAAATGTTATGAAACTTATACACAATGCTTATTACCACAAAACACAGATCAAGTGTGAATTTTAGTGGGGTCACTTTAACCGTTCTAGAGTTATGCCCCTTTATAAATGGATAAATTCCAAATTTTTAGTTTCTGTTCTTGAACTTAAGTTTGTCTCAACCAAATATTATGAAACTTATACACAATGCTTATTACCACAAAATACAGATCAAGTTGAATTTTGGTGGCGTCACTTTAATCATTATCGAGTTATGCCCCTTTATAAATCGAAAAATTGTAAAATCTTTAGTTTCCGTTCTGTAACTTAAGTTTGCCCCAACCAAACATTATGAAACCTTTACACAATACTTATTACCACAAAACTCAGATCAAGTACAAATTTGGGTAGCGTCACTTTTATTGTTCTTATTATGTCCCTTTATAATGTGGTATGCAAGGGGGGGGGGCATCATCTGTGTTCATGGGGAAACTTTCCTTTTTTTTTTCTTTTCTGTTCTCTAACTTAGGTTTGCCTCAACCAAATGTTATGAAACTTATACACAATGCTAATTACCACATAATACAGATCAAGTTTGAAATTGGGTGGCATTACTTATACCATTCTTGAGTAATGCCCCTTTATAAACATAAAAATTGCTGAATTTTTGGTTTCTGTTCTATAACTTTAGTTTGCCTCTACCAAATGTTATGAAACTTACACACAATGCTTATTACCATAAAATACAGACCAAGTTTGAATTTTGGTGTTATCACCTTTACCGTTCTTGAGTTGTGCCTATTTACAAATGGAAAATTTGCTGAATTTTTCGTTTCTGTTCTCTAACTTAAGTTAGCCACAACCAAATGTTTTGAGACTGATACACAATACTTATTACCACAAAACTCAGATCAAGTACAAATTTGGGTAGCATCACTTTTAGTTTTCTTCAGTTATGTCCCTTTATAACTTCATTATGATATGCAAGTGGGGGCATCATCTATGTCCCATGGACACATTCCCCATTTATTCCATGCTGTCTAAAATGTATAGGTTATTTTACGCATGATTGATTAGTTTGATATATTTGTGACTTTGCTTACTGAAATATACGAACAATGACTGGTTTTTTTTGCAAATTATCTACAGTATTAAACAATCAAGATGAAATTATTCAAAATATTAAGAAGCAAAAAACAAATGTAAGAATGTTTTGTAAGGTTACTCCTACACAATCAGATAATGGAGATCATCATCATAAAATTTCCTGCATGTAACTTCAAAATAAAATGCAAAAGCATGTGCTTGTTATTGGCATTAAACAAATAGGATATAGTATGAACTTAAAATCTGTGTCAAGCATTCAAACAGACAAATATAGCATTCAGACAGACACATATAGATAGGTTGATTTTTTTTCTGAAATGTGCTACATGGGACAAGATACCAAATTGTTGAGTGGGCGGTTATTAGTCAAATAACTGCCAATTGGTACCCCTTTCTGTTTGATTTTGTTCTTCACAATCCACAAATGCTAACTTCCAAAGTATTATTGATACAAATACATATAGTCTCTGTAATCTGAAAATATAGAAAAAGCAACCAGCCTTTTATTGATATGTTGTGAGTTTTGTTGATTTTGATCACATTATTCTGTATTCTTACATTAGTTTTTTGCTTCTGTATTCAGCACATCTGTTTTTTCTATTATTTTTTTTCATTTATAGAAACTTAATTTTGTCTACATGTATTCTAAATTCACTGTATTTTTTTTTTTTTTTTGCCAAATATATAAAGGCAAACGTTATGTTATCTCTTCACAAATAACTACAATGTATTGTAAGTTATATTTGCTGATTTATTTAAGGTACAATTTGATAGAAATACAACTCCAGCGTCCACACTTCACTTGTGCTGGATCTGACAATACAGTCTTTTTTCTGTTATGATTATTATAATTCCTGCCTCCAATTTTTTAAGTATATTTATGGTTAGGACAAAAGGATTCTAAATAAAGTCTTCACAATAGAAAATATAGATAAACTTATATAAAAAGGTCACCCACAGGACAAGAAAAACTGACCTAATAAGAGGGTGTCCTTTAATTGAGTTGAAGTTTAAAATATATATGTATTAACTACATTGGAAAAAGAAGAGGTTTTGGCATAATGCAGGTAACCTTTATAGCAAGATTGACTTAATCAGAGCATTACCAGATCCACTTTAGCCAAGTGGGGATACAGTATAAGTTTTTTAGTCAGGTTGATTAGGTAGGTACTGGCAGTTTCAAAAAGGCCTGTATAACTGAAGATTCGACATCAAATGCTATGGCTTTGGCAAGAATGACATCCCATATTAAGTCCTGTATAACTGAAGATTCAACACTAATGCTAGAGCTTTGGCAAGAATGACATCCCATAGTAAGTCCTGTATAAATGAAGATTCAACACCAAATGCTAGAGCTCTGGCAAGAATGACATCCCATAGTAAGTCCTGTATAACTAAAGATTCAACACCAAATGCTAGAGCTTTGGCAAGAATGACATCCCATAGTAAGTCCTGTATAACTGAAAATTCAACACCAAATGCTAGAGCTTTGGCAAGAATGACATCCCATAGTAAGTCCTGTATAAATGAAGATTCAACACCAAATGCTAGAGCTCTGGCAAGAATGACATCCCATAGTAAGTCCTGTATAACTAAAGATTCAACACCAAATGCTAGAGCTTTGACAAGAATAACATCCCATAGTAAGTCCTGTATAACTGAAGATTCAAAATCAAATGGTAAAGCTTTGGCAAGAATGACATCCCATAGTAAGTCCTGTATAACTGACGATTCAACACCAAATGCTAGAGCTCTGGCAAGAATGACATCCCATAGTAAGTCC